AATAAAACTATTTCTAATTTAAGTTTTTATAATGATATTAGACTACAAGAAATCAAAATCTAACCTCACCATATCGTATTCCAATTTGATTTCATCAATATAATCTATGAGTTATTGAATGATGCTAAAATCGACATTTTTGAACGCCTTACTAAGCTGAACAAAAAACGCCCTAGCCTTTTCCAAACTGTTATACTCAACCGGCACGTGGGTAATTGTATTTGCCAAACGTATTGTATCAGCATTCGACGAACTCGCATCGGATACTCCAGATTCTTTACTGTCTATATTGAATGGATCGTCAACCTCACAACCGAGAGGCAGACAAAGCGATACAAGTACAGGATATACATAACTAACCACACTATCTATTTTTTTTTTGTTCCATTAGAGAGATTATTGATAGCAGATAGCAAGTTCTTTTCGTGTAGGTCATTGGTTAAGCTTAAAAATTCACTAAATTGTTTGACTTCGTTGTACCATTCATACACAGAACCTAGTGAATAGTGAATAGTGTAGATATTTCAGGTGCTTTAACATCAACTTAAACATGATGACTTTTAGAAATGAATAGTTCAGCGTGTAGTGTGACTTAATGTTTTTAAGGTTGTCCAATCCAGTTTATGCGCGTCAAGAAAAGATGTTTCCAATCGTACTTTGGTTATGTCTGGCCATATGCTTATGTCATGTGCTCTGCTTATTTACATTAAATCACATTTTCTAAAAAAACGATTATTCATTTTTAACTTCTCTACAAAGTCTTTATTCAATGAATCCGCTAATATAATGTTTCTTTTCAGCATTTGTATTGCCCCTGTATTATTTGTGTACACCCTTTGTTGAATCATAGCATAGAAACTATCATAAGAATTATCTTTATGGCATCCATTTAGGTCTTTATGTAGTTTGTTGATGACATACTTGTGCGTGGCTTCAAGTTTTTGATAGACTGCCGGTATATCGGTTGAACGTTTAGCGAAACCAGTTACTAAATTCGTGTACAAAAGTAGTAGCCATAGGGATCCCATATTCCTTATTTTTAAACTATATAAAGAAACTATCTGGAATCTAATGGTATTTTTATAATTACTTTCGTCAATGTCCGTCAGTGTTGTTGGCGTATTATATGGAGGGCTAATGAAAATCCGAGTTAGCAGCATGTACTTTAGCCCACTGAACAGATATGTGCATTTTATATAATCAGACTTACTATAATTTTCAATATGATCCTCGCTGCGATATTCGTATATGATATCCGTTAATTTTACCGATTGACAAAAGAATAGCACAAAACAATAAAAAAATGTCTTGAGTTTCATAGTTTTTTTGTTAAATTCAATAATCGTCCCGTCGATAAAAGTCTTGTTTGCTTGATGCTTTTCGAGGCAGAGAAATACTGCTACTGATCAAACTTTCATCATATAATAATGTATACTTTGATCGATAGTTTAGGGATTGGAGGGTCTACAATAAACCATCTTGTTATTGTGGCGTTACTTTAAAGAAACAGTTTGTTTTTTATTTATTCAGACCACATTTCTTTTTATTTCTATAAAAAAAAAATTCTACAATACATTTTTTTACTACAAAGCATTAATATAATATTAGATAAAATATTTTTGTACGCGTACAATTTTTTTTAAAAATAAAATATGGTTTTATGTTAATCATACAATTAAAACCGTTATTGTAGTAAAAAATGTATTATTTTGGTTTTAACCGGTACTTAGATGCACAATTTATTATTCTCATAATATAGTTAGGTATTGGCTAACATTCGTTTTAAGCGCATTTTGTTCTTGAATCACCGTGTATGGTGATAACACTGGCTTATATTGTAATACCAAAGTACCTATTTGAGTAATCGAATATCCGATTAGTGTACACCTGCTTCATAATCGAATTTGGTTTTAACTAAACGGGTAATTTAAGTCCAAAGGAGAGATTTTTTCCTCGTTTCTCGTTTTTATATTAAAACCGGATTGTCATTTGAAAACTTAATTTAAGGTAATTAAATAAATTAAGTTAAGCAAATTACATGACGTGTTTTGTATTAATTTCATAATAAATTATATGATATTAAATTTTACTATTGTGGGTAAAAACACTGTGTAAAATACTAATATTTCTCTCTCTATCTAGGAAGACATTATCTTCTAATAATAGTAAAAAAATTGTAGTAATTGTAAACTGTGGCTTTTATTACTTGCTTACCAAATTACATATTTAAGTAAATGAAAATCTGATTTGTTTCCATCTGTTTAATAATGGAATTTTGTTTTAAACCGAAAGGGTAATTTATGTCAATCCCTTCCAAAATAGAGGTATCTTAACTGTGATAATAATGAAGAGATAAAAATTTCCATATCAGCTCATAAACTATACTATATTGTAGTTTTCAGTTGGAGTTTAAACATTTGAATTGAACAATTGAACAAAAATAACAAAATTGGAGTAAATGTTGGCAGAGTGGTGATAAATAAATGATCAGATAATGTGACGTCTTACTATCGTTTTCTGCATCAGCTTTTGAAATATTTTGTGACAATTGATAGTATACTGATGTATTTGGTTGTATTAGACTTAGGATCTAGTTAAAAAAAACAGTACAGTGGGGTCGGGGCATAGTGGAGACGGAGCATAGTTGGGTCGGGGCATAGTGGGGACAGGGAGGTCACAGGTTTATAGGAATTTTTAAATCTGAAAGTGATAAAATCACTTTCAAAAAAACGCTTCAATGCAAATCGGTAGTTAGTATTTTCAAGCCAGTACAGTCCAAACCAAGCACAGTGTAAGCAAAGTTAGAAAGTATTAAATTGATCGGTCATTTCAAAAACGACTTAGGACATCGATTTTTCAAAAACGTCTTTTTGTTAAATTTAATAACTATATACTTAGTTACGTATTCTGTGAGAAAACTAAATTTGTCAGACTCATATTTAATACAAATGTTGAGTACAAGAAATTAGAATCACTGCAAAAACTATTTATGAAGTTTCTTGTGGCTAGTGTAAAATTTCAAATTTGTGACTTGTGTCGTTTTTGAAATGACCGATAAAATTACAAAATAGAAGCACGAAAGCGTTTATTTGAAAGTGATTTTATTCAATTTTATCGCTTTTATTTATAATAATTCCTGTAGACCTGTGACATCTCCGTCCCCTCGTTGCTTTGATTCTATTATGCCTATATTCTACTGTACTTTTTTAAACTCATAAATAATGCAGTATTTGGTATGTATTTAAACATAGAAAAAAAATTAACATCATCCTAATAATTAAGGCTTAATTATTTTAACAGGTAAAACTATGGAGAATGTACGGAACTGCATGAAAATGTCACTCGATTGCAGTTCTGAGGCTTGTTTTAAGAATGTTTTAACCGTTGGCAAACCGGTTCATGTAGGATTTTCTGTATTGAAAATTTCCAAGACTTTGATGTACGATTTTCATTATAATTTAATGAAAAAGTACTATGGATGCGACATAGAACTGATATATTATTATTGACATTTTTTTTAACAATAAGTATAAAGTAAAAAATGATAAAGTAAAACATTTAATATAATAATTACTGTCAGCAAACACATTTGTCTTATAAAAACAGCTAAAACTAATTGTATACCTACATATAAATATGTTTTTGACTATTGGTTATTATTCGGTGGCTAACTCGTAGGTGATTCACTTGGCCCTCTTTCTTGTAGGTCGTTTCTGATCTGACAGTTAGCTAGACTTACATTACAGTTAATCAGTACTTAAATACAAAATATTTTTTCGAAATTAGGTATGAATTTTAACATAAATAATAAGTACTATAAACTACTAAATATAGGTACCTGATTTAAAACAAATATTAAATTGTTTTATTGTTTTACAATACAACCCATTTTAACAATTTTAGGTATATAAAAAAAAAATACTTAAATAAAAAGTTTTTGTCAATTGACATGAAATATTTGAAATTATATTTTATATATAAATAACTAAGTTGTCTTCAACTGTACAAGAGTAAACTGAGCATATAACAATAGTTCTACGATTATTAATTAAGTGTACAAGTGGTAATAATAGACGATGAATACGAGTACAGATCATAAAAACAAAAAAAAAAACATGTATTATTTTGGTATATTTTTATTAAATTAAATGACAGTGTATAAATAAGTATTAAATAGTTTAATATAATTAATATAATTTTTTTCATTATTTTGAAGAGTTAGTAAATAATTATTTATAAAGAAATTTAACTATTATTTTACTTATCACAATATTGACGTTCTTCTTACCAACATGTTTATATATTTGGTGACAGCCTGAATCAAATTTCCATCACTTTGGGACTTTAAGGTTTCCATAGTTTAGGGCTCTTTTGAAGTCAGGGAAATACAAAAGGTATTGTCCACCTGATTATCAATACAATATAAATAAAATGATTACATTACTAAAAGTTACTATTAAAATGTTTTATTTTTTCACGCCTAAAAAGCGAAGTATAACATGTTTCAAAAATAGCATTACAGTTTTTAAAGGCTAAAATGTTTACACAGATATATCACAGTTCAGTGATATTTTTCAAACATAATAGGTGTATAAGAAGATTGAAATAAAAAGTAGTATTTAAGTTTTAATATGTTATATTTTGCTACGGAGGTAAACACAATTTAATAAACTATGTTTAACCATACACATAATTTTGTTATACACGAGGTAGGTTTCGATCATAACTTTAGCTTCAGGAAATTTTAATGCAATAAGTATTTTCTTTGTTGATCCAAGACTGAATTACTACCCAAGGTAAACCAAAAAAATGAATGCATTGATAAAGTTGCAAGTAAATTGTATTATGATTCGGTTAGGCTAGATATGAAAAATAAACCGAGTGATATAGATATTAGACACTATACATTACTGTTAAACCACAATCATGTTAACAAAACTACGTACCACAAAAGGCAGTTTTGCGGTTAAATTTTAACGAAGTTAATAAACATCACACTTACCATTCCATTCAAAGTGTAGTTTAACATCTAGTTTGGTAGTATACAAGTACCGAACGCCTATCCAAAGTAATTTAAATTATAACGCTATGCTTACAGTACTGTAAAACTGCAATATTATATAATCTAAACCTAAGATACATAAATGCATTTATTGAAATTTATATTTACCGTGTTCGAATTTTCCGTATTTTTTAAAAAGTCGAACGAGCGTACATTCAAGGTATGTTTCTGTTCCAAAATAGTTAATCGCGTCTTTGAGCAAAATATGGTTTCTACTGTCTGTTTTTGGAATTATGTTCTTAAATAGAGTATATATCGCCTAAACAATTTTTTTTTTTAATCGTACAAAAAAAATCATATAAAACGATTTTGAACAGTAATATATTATTTTACTACCGTAATTTTATCAGATAACAGATCTGGAAAATAATAACTGTTTGTGGCCCTTTTAAAGTCATTAAAATTTAATCGGTATTCTTTATCTGGAAAACAATAGTTTCATAAATATAACGACGAAAAAATAACTAAAAATACTAAAATGTTATACTATAGTGTTCTGTGTTTTACAAAAAGAGCTCAAAGAGTAAAGGGTGAAATGTTCAAAAAAGTATCGTAACATTGTTAATCATGAACGGATTAAACATCTTTATTGTGTATTTTTACTGTTCATGTAAAACATGAATAGTATTGACTTACATAATGAGTATATTTTGTACATTTTATGTGTGTATCAAAAATCCATAAGCGAACCCGAGGCGATTTTACACAAGATAGGCTTTGATCATATATATTTTAGATTCTTAGAAGAATGAATTGCAATAGGTATTAAACAAATAAAAAATGCATTTTTTACCGATTTATTATACTTAACTAACTCACGCATAGTGTATAGTGTAGATATTTGCATGTAAAATTAAATATAGATCGGTTAGTTAAGGTCAGGAATAGGTTATATTCGATTAAAATAATTATTATCCGAAGTAAAGAAGTAGTAATGATTATAATGTAAAAACGCCATCTTAGCTAAAACTGAATTGATTAACACCACCTTACAATTAGATAATTTTACGATTAATAAAAGTAGTTATTCAAAATCATATGCTTACCATGCTTTTCCCCGTAGTAACTTATTATATATTCGAGTTGAGATAAAGGAATTTTTTTTTCATAATATTTAGTTAGTTCCTTGAAAGTAACATATTCTCTCTTCATGCGTTGTCTTTTTGGAATGATTTTCATAAATTCATTTTTCATCAACTAAAAATGTTTATTAAAGCCGCTTAGTAGGGATTTTCAAAATTGAGAATAATATACTAAACATTTTGACTGGTCGACAACCAGTTTTGTATAACTATTTTTGAAGTTATTGAAGTTTTGAGCAGGAGGAACGGTGAAATCTATCATTTTTTTTTCTTCACGCACTTCCCCTTTCGTCCTATCTTTAAAACTTTTATAACTTTGAAAATAGTTGTTCAAAATTGGTTATCAACCATTTTAAATCGTTAATACATTTTTCTCAATTTATTAAGTTGAAATGAATGATGAAATGGATGCGTTACCATTTAAGTTTATTAAGCTGTTATCAAAAAAACTAAGTTTAGGGGATGGTAAAAACAAAAAAAAAAATGTGAAAAATTGAGGTCACATAGGAGAATAACAATAGAAAAAAAATTTAATTTCTTATTAAACCCTATGAGATATCGAGTGGTTCACGTTAAAATGATTATCCAGTTTATCGGTAATCGTAAACTTGGTCCTAACAATATATTATTTTAACGACTTACAGTTAAGCATTTATCGGTTTAACAGCATCGTTCATTTTTTTTTTAAATTCAAATTAAACTGATTTACTACCAGTTAAATCCGTTACCACCCCAATTATTAAAAACATTTTTAAATATTACATTACCTTCTCGCCGTATCTTGGTACGAGTCCCATAGACCCGATCTCCTTAAATTTATCAATTTCCATTCTATATTCGTGTATATAGCCCTCGCTGTCAACTATCGTAAAGCGTATTGTTATTAATTATACATAATTTGAGTTATTTTATTTTTTGTTAAGCCGTTAACTTCTAATTAAATATAGCATCATGCTTACGGTCATGTGCGGTTCCGTACTCCCTCGTCGTGTTTGCGAATTCATGGTGGTCATAGTCTTCGAAGTAACAGCACATGTCACTGTAAGAAACATAGTCTCTAGTTTTCATTGTGTGAAATAGATATTCTATTTCCTAAAAAATAGTAATAAAACAATATAATAAGTGATTCATATTTTAGCTTCGACGAGGAACTGAGAAGGTATTGTTTTTGAAATTATGATTTTTTTTTTCTGTCTAGACTCTAGGACCCACGATAAGTTATGTTCATATTTTGAGGTGTCTGCGAAACAGCTAATGTAGCCTTGTCTTAGTCTGGCACAAGAAATACAAAGAGGGAGAGGAATGGTTCTTAAACATGCATGTAAAATATGTACATGTTCGAACTAAATATCCCTGGGTACAGGCGCACATATTAAGTGTATCCTTATTAATAGCTAATATAAATAAAAACAAACAAAATGTACCGTCTGAAATGCAATTACATCACGCACAGGTTTTGGAAGGACACCCATGTTTATGGCTTTTTTAAACTCAAGGAATGTTAATCGAAATGATCTACCTGAAAACCACCAACAATAAATTACTAGAAATAGAACAAAAATAATTAATAAATATTAAACTCTTTTATAGTTTTACAACAAAACTGAGAACATTTTTTAAATATTTCAATAATATCCTGGCAGTGTGCAACAAGATGGGTCCAGAAATATGAGTCATTAAACGATTTTGTTGAGTTGTTACCATTTGTAGTCAAAACACTTGAAACAATTTATTCTACATGGGGTGCACCATCTTCTATAGATGCTAATATTTTATTAAAAATTGTATTGGATTCTGAGTTTGTTATTTCTTTATATGTTACAAAGGTAAATTCTAATTTTTAAACATTAACACAAAGAAATATATTTTAGACTTTTTTTCCTTTGGACTGCCTGTCTGTAAAAAACTACAGAAAGAACGCATTGATTTGAAAAATACTTTAAATACAATTGAGTTATTAGTAAATACTTTAAAAGAAATGAAACAGGATGCAGAAAAAGAATTTCATCTTTTATATGACAAAGTAGAAGTATGTGATATAAGCCTTATTTTCATGTAGTAAAACATAGAGTATTATTAATTTTTAATATTTTAATAGACTTTAGCAAATGCTAATGGCACAAAAATATCTAAGAAATGAACAGCAAGAAAACAATCAAATAGTGACAATGTTTATGCCGTTTGTAGACAATTTTATCAGCCAACTTACTAATCGTTTTTTAAACCATAAATCAGTTTTTGATAGCTATTGATTTATCTATGTATTATGAAAAATCGGTAATAAATATGTTTTATTAAAATGACTTGAAGGGTTTGAATGTTTATTTACTTCAACTTTTACTGATGAAGAAAGGTTGGCATTTGAAAATTTAGTTGAGTTTTGCTGTGAAAATTATCTGGACCCCCCCCCCAGGAAAAATTCCTAATTACGCCACTGGTTTGATAATAAAAAAAACAATTAAAATAGTATCACAATACTGTCAAATCATCTTAGCTAAAACTATATAAACACCCAAGTTTATTTTACGATTATAAAAGTAGGTACTAAAATTCATGTCTACCAAACACTGATTTTTTTCTGTAGGTCTTAAAATATATGCGTTGATGTAAAGGAATTATTGATCCATAGTATTTAGCCATGTCTTTAAGGGTAACATGTTTTTTGTTGGTTCGTTTGTGTGTGAACCAAAGAATTTCTTTGAAGACAGTAATCATCGCCTAGAAATTGTTTTTTTAAAAGTTACACAAAATTATTATAAAACAACTTTTACCAGTATGAAACTATAAAGCACATAGAATAAAGTTATAACGTCATAATAGTTTTGACATCACCTGTGTAGAACATATTTGTATGTAGCCTTGAGACGCAGCTCTTGCAAATTCGTCAAAACACATTATGTATTCAAGTTTAGTGTCACCTAGAAACCATCACATTATAGCAAAAGAAAATCAAGCACAGTGATATCATTTTATATTGGGAATGGACCATACTAGGATTGAGGAGGTCACGGGTCTTCAGAAACCCTAAACACCGAATATGATAAAAATCCCTTTCAAATACATACAAGAAGAGTTTTTTATTGCAATAAAACCATTCCGTAGTTATTGATGGTTTAATTGAATTTTGAGATTGTAAGATAAATCGGTAGAACAAATCGTAAGCAAGTACAAAGTTGTCGTTGGTCCAATCCAAGTTCATGTTACCTTTTATAAAACGTTTACCGTTGTTTTCAGACCATATATTTTTAACATTACAAATTTCATACTTGATCGATCTGACTGAAAAACTACTATAACGATCATATTTCACCTGGTTGTAGGTAGAGGTACGATCGCACACATAGGACAATGCACGTCATGCTGCACCTAATTATAAGTTGACTTTACCATCGCGGATCGCCAATACCCTCGACCTTGTGTCCAATATTTTTGTCCTAGTTCGTCTGTCCATTCCCTTAACATGCATTCCGTTTGGACTTCAGCACTACCATAATCGATATAGAATACACTGTCCGTGTCCTATACGACAGCTTTACCCAACTTATTAAGCATATCATGCAACCAACGTCTTACGTCGAATGTTGTGAATTCAGCAATATAGACGTTTGAGTTATAATTGGTTTTTATATACTCCTTAGTATTTTTATATGATACTTCAATCACGTCATTATTCAAAAATACTGAAGTATAAACAATTTCTATTTTATCATCCAATAGAAATCTCTGTTTTGGTTAAGTGAGATTTTTGACCGAACTTACCCCAAAAAAAGCTCAAACACATTTTTGCAACGGATGTCAACCCTGGATTTTCTTATATGTTGTTTATGTCAAAGTCTATACCCATCGCTTCCTCGACAGACTTTATATATTCCTCGATTGTTTTGTAATCATGTTTTCATGGGCTTGCATCTAGTTCCAATTTTAGGAATTTTTTTAGGTCAGTTGACATAAAGCAATGATTCTACAGGATACGAGTGATTTATTGTCAAATCACTCATCTTCGTGTATCGAATCCCTTTGGATTGGGTTTGCAATTTCGTTTTCAAATTGTTCATCTTGCTATCTTGTATACACATTTTTTATAGATAGCAATACTTCAGTATAGCTCTCGTGTATCGTTTCTGGTTGCCCCCATAGTTGCGTCTATTTTACTCATATGTCTCTTCCCCTCATATGACGCTGCCAATTTTTTTTCGTAATAAATTTGTTGTATTTTCAAATTTCATAGAATTTGGGAAGACATATCCTTTTTTATTATTTGTATGTCTTCTGCAATTCAGATGAGATTTCCAACCGGTCGTTATAATATCTAAATTACAGGTAGTCTACAATCGTCGTTTATTACCACTCTTATACCTATTTTCCTCTAGATTTATGAGGCCCCTACCTCATCACTATTGAAATGCTACAAACACGAATGGGCTATTAATTTGGAGGTGTTTCAATTTAGAACAAACTTCTACTTTTCCCTAGTTTACAATACCATCTATGGCTGAGTATCGAGCTGAAAACATTCGTTGTATCAAATCTAAACCCTCAGATAAATTATACAAAAACACTAAGCATAAATGTCCACATTTCGGAGGATTGTTAAAATGTTGTACACAATCAGTATTATATTATAATAAATTGTGATGTCCCACATAATTAACTACCTCTACCGGGGGGTGACATCTAAAAGAAACGAAATAATATTTTAAATTTTGGTTCACATATTAAGACGTCCAGTGACTAGCTTGATCAAAATTCTGGAAATTTATAACACCACATTCAATTTCATTTCTTGTAAAAGGTGACATATTTTTCATGAAAACCCCTCTGAAGTTGTATATTTGTAAAGATTGTGCCATGTATAACAAATCCAAATTTGTAAGGGGTTTAGCCAGCTTATTCAATAATTAACTATCAATTGTATTATATGATTTTATTTTGGATTTTTCTTGATTTCAAAATGATGTAAATGTTTACTATGCATTTTTTTTCTCGATTTTTAAATGGAAGCGGTGGATTTAATACATTTTTGTCCCACTAAAGTACGTTTCAGGTAAGATTTCTAATCTATGAGCATCTTTCGTAATGCAATTGGTTCATATCAAGTTGGAAATATCTAGGGTCCCCATGCAAAAATACAAAATCAGAATATGACAAAATATACCTTCGAACATCTTATCAAAGTTGGAAAAAAATGTTTCATAAGGTAATTTTTTTTTTCAATAAAATGTTTTGGGGTGGTACAAATATTACGTGTAGAATAATAAAATAACGATTACTTTGACTAAATAAATATGGATGGCCGAATTCTTTCATAACGCTTGACAATTTATTCTGTTCTTCATCTTTATAATAGGTAAGGAAAGTTTCTTCATTAATATAGTTTCTGTCGCCTCTTATAGTGTCCCATAGAATTGATATTTCCTAAAAGTTTTTATACAATAGTATAATAAATGATTTAAAATATAATTTTTTTAAATTAATTTTAAAAGCACAATATTGCTATTGTACTAATAGTTGTAAAACTTTAAAAAATATGTCAGTAAAATATACAAGGGAATCATTTTTTCGTGAACCAACCTATTGGGTTTAAATAATTATTTTATTTTATTGGGATTATTTTCATAAATTCATGTCTCATCAACTAAAAATGTTTATTAAAGCAGCTAAGCGAGGGTTTTCATTAATTCATTGATTTATATTTTATACTACTAGGACACAGAGCTAACAGACCAATATAGGGTAATCATTTTAGCATGAAACAATCAATATCTTATTGGGTTTAATTAATTTTTTTTTTTCATAGTGATTTATATAACGTGATCTCAATTTTCCATACATTTTTACGATCCTACCCCCCAAAACAATTTTTTTCATATCATCTTTTTAAACCTAAGTAGTAGCGCATACATTTCATTACCTTATTAAATCAAGAATAATGTACTAACAATTTTGAGTAGTCGATAACCAGTTTTGGATAACTCTTTTTGAAGTTATATAATTTTCAAATTGAGAGCAGAAAGAAAGAGAGGGTAAAGTATTATTTTTAGCTGTGCGCACTTCCCAACCATACTTCCCTTTGCGTCCTAACTTTTAAACTCTTATAACTTTAAAAATATGTGTTGGTTTAGCTTGGTTTAGAATATGCAGGTTTATATTGTACTAAATTTAGAATTTGCTTGTTTTTTTTAATATTGTTTTGATTATAAATATTTATGACAAGAACTATATTTGTAAGTCTTTAACCTCAAATAATAATAGTTTACTAGATAAAAATGACTATTTAGTAAAACGTTAACCTTTAAGTTATAAATAGTTCAGCAAAACATTGACAAAAACCTAATAGTTTTAAAATAATAGGTCATAAATTACCAGACGAGCTTTTTTTTTCTGACCAAACGCAGCTATTTCTGGAAATCAACAAATAAATACTTTTTAGTATTATTATGAGCCAAACCAACTTTTTAAGGATTTTTACTCATTATTAGAAGAAAGTACATTTGCCATACAGACGCCAAATAAATATTGTATCTGTTAAATAACTGCTTTTAAATAGTTTTTTAACTTATAACATTACTTTGCTTTTTTTTGTGTTTGTGTAAGCACTAATCATGATAGCTTGGAAAATCGAATGTTAGGTTCTACCATAAGTTGACAGTATTCTCGAATCGGATAAACTTTTAGGAATTGTATATAGAAATGTGTTAGTATGTTTTTATTTCTACTGTGCTATATCGTTTGACTATTCGCTGAACCATATATTTTAAACTTTTCATAAATCCTGTGTAAAAAATACAGAAAATTACTATTATACACCTGTATGTGTAACTTTGTGTACACGTTGTCTTTTTTAGAATTTAATATCTCTCATATCAACTTTGTGCACCTATGAACATTTAAAACATTTGGAACTACACATAGTCATTTTATTTTAACTGCGTGAAAAAATATATACTAATAAAATACATTATTATTTTTCTGCTTGATCAAAGTACATTTTATTTTCAAACAAAACACAGGTAAAAAACCTGTTGAATATTTGTAACATATATAAATTAAAATTTGTTTTAAATGTTTTTTTTTTCTAGCCATATGCTCAATTATATTTATTTACCACATTCCGGCGATGACGTACCGCCACACCTTAAAAGTAAACGTTCGTTTCTCAATGTATATTTTACACACAAAAATTCTTGGTTTGATTACATTTTTTATGCGAATTTTAAACCAGAAGTAATGTTTAAAAAAATACTTACAGACATATGCATTTATCAAATAATTTACCAAATTTACTTTCTTCAGGCTAAAAAAAAAACCAAGTAATACATTAATTGTATAAAATGAATTTAACTCTAACGATTAGGTTACGATTCTAACTTTAATCTATTATTTATAACAGTATAAAAACAATACTAAAAACTTGTCTTGATTACAAATATTTATGACATGAATTTTATTTGTAAGTCTTAAAGCTAAAAAAAATAATAGTTTGTTAAATAAGAATGGCTATTTAAGAAAAATTTAAACCTTATATTATAAATAATCCAGTAAATATTGAAAAAAACTTAATAGTTTTAAAATAATAGTATATTTTACCTGAGGTTCAGCCTGAATTTTAGCTTTTGTTTCATTTTCAGATGAAGCTGTACCAGATTCAGTCTGAATTTCCACGTCAGCTATTATTTTACTTTCAGATGGAGCTGTACCAGGTTCAGTCTGAATTTCTAGGTCAGCTATTATTTTATTTTCAGGTGAAGTTGTATCTGAAGCTTCATTTGTTTGTATTTTAGTTTCTGTTTCTGGTAATCAACGAATAAAAACAATAACTACTAAATATTTTTTTTTATGAGTCAAACCAACTTTTCAGGGAGTTTTACATATTATTAGATGATCTCACATTTGCCAATCCGACGCTATAACTTAAACTACTTAACTACTAACACTTAAACCTACTTTTTTCACTCGTTATAAAGCATAATTGTGCATGGGCTAATCTGACGTCACATAAATAATTTGTACATACGAGTATCTGTTACGTTTTAGCTTCAATGCGAAGCTGAGAAGATATTGGATTTATAATGTGGGTTTTTTTATGTGCTTGTAAACATGATGAATATACTCCTATATTTTTATCGAGTATTCATCAGGCATACCCCTATTCGCATATACAGTTTAAATGCCAGACAATTTTTTTTTTTTTTAATTTGTGTACATAGCTTTTGACTTACCTCTTTTTATAGCAAAGAGAGTACACAAATTACAAAAAAAAAATTAAAATAAAAAATTCAACTGGAATAAAACTGCATTTTGTCTTATAATTTAATTAAATACATTATTATTAAAACAAGTTAATTAAAAATGATTTTTTTCTAACCATCAACTAAATTATCCGTTATTTCTACATCGCCATACCTGGAAAGTAAACGTTCATTTTGATGGCATTTTTTATACAATTTTAATACCAAAAATAATGTTTTAAAAAATACTTACGAAGCACACGTTGCTAGGCTAAGTAAAAGAATAATCTTGATGTTCGTCATATTTTGTATCACACAGATAAAATATTCAACTGTTATAATATACTGCTTAACTAGACTGTAAGCATACTGTGTGCTACTACAGTATTCTAAGACAACATGTAGTTATTGTTATTCTACAATTTATTGACTTAGTCTTTTTAAGTATGTTTTACGGTTCGTATACGGAAAGGTGTTATTTATGAGTCTATTTTTTATATTGACATTTTAAAGCAGAATAAGGTTTCAAATCTCTAATAAAAATTGTATTTTTTAAATATCAGCCAAGTCATAATGTTTATTATTGTAAAAAACTGTATAAACATTCTATTAAAATTGAGAACTTGCAAAACATAATTAATACAATGGTAAAATAACTTTAAAACCATATTTAAAATCATGAATAACAAAATATGGATTTTAAACGATTTGTGTTCGACAAATAAATCAGTACCTCTGTCCATATTTGTGCATGACTATATAAATAAAGTCTGTTTATAAAGATTTAAATTCGAACGAAAATGTATGTCGAGTATAAAAATCGCAACACTAGCATTTACTCATAGATTTTTTCAAATGATCACGTTCAGGTAGTTGACTGCGCACCCCGCCAGATAGTCCATCTCTGTACGTAATATTTGAGCGGGTGCCTGCTTCGGTTTACATTTGTGTGTATTTTTCGATCACGTGGTTGGTGAACTTTTGAATTTGCTTTTCGAATATGTATATGATTATCGCGTACTTGTCCGCATTGTTCGGGCCTTTTGGCAACACGGAAGTCATTGTTTTGAATTGTGCATTGACCGAATCGTCAACGTGGTCGGGTAGCTGTCGGCAATAGGTTTTCCTGAACGGATCGAAGTAACGTTTTATATAAGTATTCAGGTAAGTATGGAAAGTACTGGAATGATGGCAGCCGATTTTTATCGTTTTTCCGACCTTATGGGAATTTTCCACTTTTTTTACTTGGCAAACCTGCGCAAGCCGTTGGTCAAAACCAAGTCATATCTTGTGTTAAAAACTATCTTTCTTCATCTTCAAACTGCAGTAATCCGACCAAGCAGTTTAGTGCGCCGACTATGTGCTCGAACATGAATCCACTGTTTTCCAATTGTCTCAAAACCTCGTGTTCGTAATTGCCCTGCTGGTGGTTCGTGTTGATTTGCATTCTTTTACTAAACGCCAATTCCCTGCGCTTGGCCAATTTACACAAGTGCAACATGTACTTAAGGAAATCGACAAATTCAAACACAGCGTTCACATAGACGCATCCCAGCAAATGGATGGCCATGTGCAATTTTTCTTTGAAGTTACCAGCTGTGATTTTGGCGTTTTCGTCATCAACACCAACATACAAATCATGTCCGGAAAACCATTCTGATCTCGTTATTGAATTGCATTTGCTTTGCACGTTTTCGATTTGGCTCCATCCAAAGCTACTTAGAATAGCGTTCAATTTGTCCGGTCGATTGCTGCAAGCCACTGAATTTAGTTCCTCGTCAAGCGACCATAAGAGTAAAACAAAGATGAACATCTTATTATTATTACTGCAAATCATATTGGATTTTATTTACCACAAATTAAAAAAAAAACACTATGCTCGGTTCTATGTAGGTAATTGATCTAAGTATACTAAAGAATAATATTATAGGCTGCATCTCACCTGGATATGGATATTTTTTTTGCTTGATAATAAATATAATATTTACCGAATTTGTTTGTTTTAGTTTTGACAAATATTAGGTACTGGTTGAGATAGTTAGTACTAGAAAAATGATAGATTTGGAAACCATTTAAAATGCTTTTCTGCTTAACAAAATATGTACTGGTGTTAAACCTGTTGACAGAATGATAAATTTAACACAAGTAATAACTGTATTGTAATTTTTTATTTTGAAATAACATAAA